TATGTAATTGAGTAATACAGCCCAAATTTATATCATTTCGTAAAGTAAAAGGACCTAAATTTTTGCATAATATGTTATTGTTTGCACACTTGGTTAGAAATAAAGTTAATAATAAAACAAAAAAGAAAATTTAGTGTTGTTGTTATTTCTTTTTGGTTAAATTTTAGTTTTGAATATAATTTTCTTTTAGGATTTCGAAATAAGATTGCTCGTTTGAACCATTCGAGTTTATTTTGTGGAACTTGCCAATATTGGTATCATATGTTACAGGTACATGTATATACAATATAGCTGGAAACATGATCATAGGACTCAGATCCTTAGTTTGGGCATCTGTTGCCAAGTGGTTTAGCAAAGTTACAGCCAGTTACAGCCAAAAAAAATTGAAAATTTCAATAATTTGACCTTCAAAGTCAAGGTCATTTATGAGTGATGGTCAAGGTCTGTCTGGTTATTTTTAAGGGTTATGCTTGAAGATTATTGTGTTCAAGTTTGAAGACAATCCATTCGAATATAACAAAGTTACAGCCAATAATAGCCAATAAAAAAAATATATGAAAATTTCAATAATTTGACCTTCAGTCAAGGTCATTTATGAGTGAAGGTCAAGGTATGTCTGGTTATTTTTAAAGGCTATCCTTGAAGATTATTATGTTCAAGTTTGAAGACAATCCATTCAAAAATAACAAAGTTACAGCCAATAATAGCAAGAACAAGCAAAATTTGGACTTTTGACCTTGAAGATCAAGGTCATTTATGGATGAAGGTCAAGGTTAGTGTGGTCTCCTGAAAGGTCTTGTCCCAAGGGTTGTTGTGGCCAAGTATGAAGACAATACACCAAGAACTAAAAAAGTTATGATCCAGGTACAAATTTGCGGACTGCACCGGCAACGCCGCCAGGACTGTAACAATACCTTTACATTTTTTTCATAAGTGGAGCTAAAAATGTTTACAGAAACACAGACAAGATCTCCTACTATTGATAGATCCTTACTATTTGAATAACAATAGATTTAACCACAAACATTGACATGTGCTCTTTTGTTAACAAATAGGTTGTGGCGAAATTGTTATTGTATCCACTAATCTGATAATAAGAATTAGATAGGTCAGGGATCTATGCATTGATCACTGTAGGTAATCTTGTTTGGAATTTTTCTTCTTTAGAAATGAAAACATGAAGACTTTTGTAAAATTTATTTCATTTTTATATGACTTTATTTTCTATTTTCTGTTTATGCGCCCATGCGAATCATCACAAGAAAACAAACACATCAAACATCATTATATACATGTATATTGCAATCAATTTGACACAATTATTAAATGAGGTGTTCATTATATATATATCAAGTAACCAATTTTCTTAATAAAATTAAAAGTAAAGGCAGGATCATCAACTGTCGCAAGTTTAAGGTCATAGAATATGACATTCGTGAACAAAACAGGCCAGAGGACATGATAATCCTAATTCTAACCTGTGACTATAGGTCCCTCCCCTAATGTTCCCCTTCACCATGAATCATAACATGAAAAAAGAAATTATTGTGACTAAAATAAATGGTTTGATTAAAATAAAATACACATTAATCAGTCAAATTTGGAAATGTCTGAGCAAACCATTCTCACATAATCATCATACAAATGTATTTTCTTGCAATGATGGATAAAAATATATAATCTATTACCCTGTACAGTAAAAATACAAAAAAAAACCAACTAAAAATACAAAACAATGATAAACAATACAAGAGCTGTCTGTAGGACAGCACGCTCGACTATTCTAAGTGCTTGATAGTAAAAGAGCCTTGATATTGTTAAAATTTTTAAGTTTACAAAAGGGCTATTTTTTTTTATAAATTCTTGTTATAGGCCTTAGAGAGAGTCTAATTAAACAGTATTGGCTTGACTATTCGGAAGGTAATGTCACAAGGGTGTTTTATTGAGTATAATAATACTAATTACCTATGAATACATAAATTTGACAGAAAAGGTACAAAGGCTTGTTATTAAGATGTTTTATCAAGTAAATCACTGCTTTATTATTATGAATGCATAAAATTGTCCCAAAAAAGGCACAAACCCTTCAGTAGTTATTGAGATAACAGCTTACAAATGAATTTCTAAGTTGAAAAAGGGGAGAAAAATCAGCCTAAATGCAAGATAGAACTATGGATCTTTGTCAGTGACCTACAATTATGACCCTAAATGCATATGTGAAGTTTTAAATAAATATCTTTAATAGTTATGGAGATATGTAAAACTTGCATGTAAACATTAACCAAGAGACTAAGTAGAAAAGGGTATATGAATCAGCCTTAATGCAAGATAGAGTTATGGAACTTGGTCAGTGACATACAATTATGACCCTCCAATTATGACCCTAAGTGCATGTGTAAAGTTTCAAGTAAATATCTTTGAAGACCTTTAACCTTTAACCAAAATTTCTAAGTTTCAAAGGGGCAAATAATTCTGCAAATATTGCAGGCAGAGTTATGCAATTTTGCAAACTGATGTACATTGTTACTATAAAAAAGCATTTTAATTTTCAATTGAATATCTCAAGCAATAATTGAGATATTTGTCATTTGACTTTACAAAAAAACTTTAACCAAAATTTCTAAGTTCCAAAGGGGCAAAATTCTGTCAATATTGTAGGCAGAGTTATCAAACTTGTCAATCTGATGTACCTTGTTACTATAAATAAGTATTGTAAGTTTCAATTGAATATCTCAAGAAATAATTGAGATATTTGACTTTACAAAAAACTTTAACCAAAATTTCTAAGTTAAAAAGGGGCATAATTCTGTCAATATTGTAGGCAGAGTTATCCAACTTGTCAATCTGATGTACCTTGTTACTATAAATAAGTATTGTAAGTTTCAATTGAATATCTCAAGCAATAATTGAGATATTTGACTTTACAAAAAACTTTAACCAAAATTTCTAAGTTAAAAAGGGGCATAATTCTGTCAATATTGTAGGCAGAGTTATCAAACTTGTCTATCTGATGTACCTTGTTACTATAAATAAGTATTGTAAGTTTCAATGGAATATCTCAAGTAATAATTGAGATATTTGACTTTACAAAAAACTTTAACCAACGCAGACGCCGACGCGGACGCTGACGCCGACGCCGGGGCGACTACAATAGCTCTCATATTCTTCGAATAGTCGAGCTAAAAATGCAATGTAATATATAATGAATCAATCACTTATGCCAAAGATTTATACTAGTAAACAATAGCACTTATAAGTAAACTAGAACTGCCACTATCTTGGCGTGAATACCCCCGCATACCACTTTGTCAGAATCAACAGTGGCCATTTAGAGCGCAAGGACAACCTCCCTGCCAAATCTGAGGTTACTAAGCCAGTGCATTGCTAAGTTATGTATTCTACATGCTTCAAATGTGAAAATGTCAAAATCAATACATTGCAGACAGGACATTCTTTAGCAATTGAGAAGAAAAGCTTTTTTTTTTGTCAAGGTCCCTGTGACCTTGAACTTTGACCCAGTGACCTCAAAATCAATAGGGGTCACCTTATAGTCATGATCAACATCCATGCCAAATTTGAAGACTGTGGGTCAAAGGAATCTTAAGTTAATGGGTGGACAAACTTTTTGAAGTCAAAGTCCCTATGACCTTGACCTTTGATCCAGTGACCTCAAAATTCAAAAGGGGTCATCTACTAATCATGACTAACCTCCATTCCAAATATGAAGACTGTGGGTCATAGGAATCTTAAGTTATTGGGCGGACAAGCTTTTTGAATGCAAGGCCCCTGTGACCTTGACCTTTGACCTGGTGACCACAAAATCAATAGGGGTCATCTACTAATCATGACTAACCTCCATTCCAAATATGAAGACTGTGGGTCATAGGAATCTTAAGTTATAGGGCGGACAAGCATTTTGAAGTAAAGGCCCCTGTGACCTTGACCTTTGACCTGGTGACCTCAAAGTCAATAGGGGTCATCTACTAATCACGACTAACCTCAATGCCAAATATGAAGACTGTGGGTCAAAGGAATCTTAAGTTATAGGGCGGACAAGCTTTTTGAAGTCAAGACCCCTGTGACCTTGACCTTTGACCTTGTGACCTCAAAGTCAATAGGGGTCATCTACTAATCATGACTAACCTCCATGCCAAATATGACGACTGTGGGTCAAAGGAATCTTAAGTTATTGGGCGGACAAGCTTTTTGAAGTCAAGGCCCCTGTGACCTTGACCTTTGACCTAGTGACCTCAAAATCAATAGGGGTCATCTACTAATCATGACTAACCTCCATGCCAAATATGACGACTGTAGGTCAAAGGAATCTTAAGTTATTGGGCGGACAAGCTTTTTGAAGTCAAGGCCCCTGTGACCTTGACCTTTGACCTAGTGACCTCAAAATCAATAGGGGTCATCTACTAATCATGACTAACCTCCATGCCAAATATGACTACTGTAGGTCAAAGGAATCTTAAGTTTTGGGCGGACAAGCTTTTTGAAGTCAAGGCCCTGTGACCTTGACCTTTGACCTAGTGACCTCAAAATCAATAGGGGTCATCTACTAATCATGACTAACCTCCATGCCAAATATGAAGACTGTGGGTCAAAGGAATCTTAAGTTATTAGGCGGACAAGCTTTTTAAAGTCAAGGCCCCTGTGACCTTGACCTTTGACCTGGTGACCTCAAAATCAATAGGGGTCATCTACTTATCATGACTAACCTCCATGCCAAATATGACGACTGTAGGTCAAAGGAATCTTAAGTTATTGGGTGGACAAGCTTTTTGAAGTCAAGGCCCCTGTGACCTTGACCTTTGACCTAGTGACCTCAAAATCAATAGGGGTCATCTACTAATCATGACTAACCTCCATGCCAAATATGAAGACTAAGGGTCAAAGGAATCTTAAGTTATTGGGCGGACAAGAAAAAACCGACGGACGGCCGGACGGACAGCCGGACGGACGGACGGACAAGCTGATTCCAGTATACCCCCCTTACAACTTTGTTGTGCGGGGGTATAAAAATTTTAATAAGAAACAAAATTGTCACTAATACATTTAGGTACTACATGTATAAACAATTTACAGTTACTTCCCTTGCACAACAACCTGAAAATTTACGCGTGTTTGTCTCTTGATAAATACAACATAATTAAAACTATCATAACAGTTAAATAATACTTAATAAGAAATTGTATTTTAAATTACTTCAGTTTATATCACAATTAAGTGGAATTAATTTTATGACTTCTTCTGGCCGTAAGTTAGATTGGTCATAAATTAGATTGTCTCCCAGGCCCAGCCACTGGCTTGTCCCGTTCATCCCATTGCGGTACCCCATCACAGGCACAAAACTTTTTTGAGTTCTGGAACAATCCTGCTGAACGCGCAATAATTCCACATGCAACCCTAGAATGACATAATACAGGCCCTATAAAAAGGGGAGATAATTCTGACAAAAAATAAAAGTTGAGAAGTGGTAAATTATGATAGTAACTTTGTTTGGAAATTTTCAAGGAACTAGTTTTCACATGTCTAGAAAGTATGTAATACTTTTTTTAAGTCATCTTACTTATTAAATGTTATTTTGCAATTATGTTTAAATGCATCATGGTGGAACTTGGGCTGCGGATAAATTACCAGTTTAATTCCATAATCAGCAAATTAAGATTACATCAAAGTGAAGAGCAATCTTCCTCCCCTTATGATTCTGTGCCTCCACTTATGCCTCCAGATTAATTTTAAATTTCATGAAAATTATGAAAACATATTAAAAAGTAAAATATTGAGAAGTGAACAAAGAATATAATTTTCACATTGCAAACAGCCCTAACAACCCAAAAAAAGCCCTTACTGTACTAGGAACACAGTCGAAACATGGTGATAAATACCGCAAAATCGGTCATAAATCACAAATAACATGGGAATTATTACTTTTATCTTGAATCTCTTTCATTTTTCTTAAAATCTCAGTTGTTTTTTCTCAAGTTTGATTTTCTTGAAATATTTTGGTTCATCTGGAGGCATGCAGCTTTAAGACAGTTAATTGTAATAACTACAAGAGAGAAATTAACTTAAATGTTAGCTGAGGAATTAATGTATACATTGACAACAGATTACATATATAAGTGTAAGAAAAAATGGCGTTTGCCTTTTCTATATCATATGAATAAAAAGAAAACCACACCTTTCATCTTTCTCTTGGTTTCTGAGGTGAGCAACTGTACTGGGACAATTATGTATCATCATTGATCGTCCAATCATCTCCCAAATCTTTAACCTGTCATTTACAAATCTGAACTCCGCCCTTCCATCTGGCCCCGCCTCTATATCTCCAAAATCACCTGCTGCAAACTACAACAAAGAAAGTAAGATATTACAACCAAACAGTTAATTGATTAACAAAGCAAAATATCATGCACTGAAAAATTTCTTGGATTTCCTTTTATAACTTTTATGAAAATAATGTAAAACATTTGATATTTTACAATTAAGACTGATGCTAAAAAACAAAACTTTTTTCCTATCTTACCTCATTATCAGACTCTGTCAAACCAAAAATATCTCCACAACTGAAAAAAACATGTATAACAGTCATTTATTTCTTTTTATCTTCTACCAATAAAAATTCCCTAATGATGTGTTTTTTTTTAGATATTTGAAAACTTAGAAGTACTTTAACAAAAACAATTTTTAAACTAGTAACATTTTGGATTACCAAGACAATACTACTTATTACTAGCCTACACCACAAGAATAAAAGTATGTTCAGTCTGTGGGACATTTCCTACCAAGAAACTTAAACAAGAGGGCCATGATGGCCCTGAGGTCGCTCACCTGTAGATAGGCCCCCCCCCCCACCCCCGGGCCAATTTTTACCCAAGGGCTTTTATTTGTTTATTTGAACAGACTTGGTAGACACCCATAAAAAGATGTTTCATGCTAAACATCTAAGTTCTAGCTCATTGGGTTTTTTAAACGAAGATTTTTAAAGTTTTTACTATACACAATGACACCCCTGGGGCAGGGCCAGTTTTGACCCCCGGGCTTTTATTTGAACAAACTTTGTAGATATTTACTTAAAAATGTTTCATGCTTAAAATATCTAAACTCTAGCTATTTGGGTTTTTTCAAAGAAGATTTTTAAGTTTTTGCTATACACATATAAGGAAAATCAATGACCCCCCCCCCCCCCCGGGCGGGGCCAGTTTTGACCCCAGGGCTTTTATTTGAACATACTTGGTAGACACTCATTAGAACATGTTTCATGCTAAATATCTTAGCTCTAGCTCTTTTTGAGTTCTTTAAAAGAAGATTTTTTTAAGTTTTTACTATATGCATATAGGGAAAATCAATGACCCCCTGGGGCGGGGCCAATTTTGACCCAGGGCTTTTATTTGAACAAACTTGGTAGACACTCATTAGAAGATGTATCATGCTAAATATCTTAGCTCTAGCTCTTTGGGTTCTTTAAAAGAAGATTTTTTAAGTTTTACTATATGCATATAGGGAAATCTATGACCCCCTGGGGCCGGGTCAATTTTGACCCCAGGGCTTTTATTTGAACGAACTTGGTAGACATTCACTAGAAGATGTTTTCATGCCAAATATCTAAGCTCTAGCTCTTATGGTTCTTTAAAAGAAGATTTTTTAAGTTTTTTACTATATGCATATAGGGAAAATCAATGACCCCCCGGGGTGGGGCCAATTTTGACCACAGGGCTTTAATTTGAACAAACTTGGTAGACACTTACTAGAAGATGTTTCATGCTTAATATCTTAGCTCTAGCTCTTTGGGTTCTTTAAAAGAAGATTTTTTTTAAGTTTTTACTATATGCATATAGGGAAAATCAATGACCCCCCGGGGCGGGGCCAATTTTGACCCCACGGCTTTTATTTGAACAAACTTGGTAGACACTCACTAGAAGATGTTTCATGCCAAATATCTTAGCTCTAGCTCTTTCGGTTCTTTAAAAAAAAGATTTTTTAAGTTTTTACTATATGCATATAGGGAAAATCAATGACCCCCTGGGGCGGGGCCAATTTGACCCCAGGGCTTTTATTTGAACAAACTTGGTAGACACTCACTAGAAGATGTTTCATGCCAAATATCTAAGCTCTAGCTTTTAGGGTTGTTTAAAAGAAGATATTTAAAGATTTTTCTTTCGGTTGCCATGGCAACCAGAGTTCTGCATGGAATTAAATTCTTTGAACAATTTTTAAAGGTGACCACCAAAGGAACATTCCTGTGAAGTTTGGATGAAATTGGCTCAGTGGTTTATGAGGAGATGTCATTTAAAGCAAAAGTTTACGGACGGATGACGGACGCCGGACGACCGACGGACGGACGGACGCCGGACGAAAAGCGATCACAAAAGCTCACCCTGTCACTTTGTGACAGGTGAGCTAAAAAGTCTAAAAATGTATCCTTGAACATTTGGCAGCCCACCCCCAAGTTTGAATATCCTGGTGGACAAGATATTATCTTAACCTACTGGTTGCTTAATACAAGTGTGTTTCTTGCATGACTTTTATTTTAACTGAAACCCCTTAAAGAAAAGTACAAATTGAATTTGCTCAATGTTACAATTACCAGTTTCTTGTCAACATTTTTCTAAATGTTCTATTACACACAATACTCAAGTCCTTTCTTACATCAGTTCTTCAAAATTTAAACATATAGTATTAATACATAAAGCTGTTGCAAGACTGTTACATCAATGCGATTTGGATACAGTGCTTCTTCTTAGCTCAATAGCGAGAGCATAAAATTTGTAATCCAGGGTCACTGGTTCTATGACAATGAGTCCAATGGTCAGTTGTCTGTAACTAATGATTCAAAAATCATTTGGGAATAGTAATAGGTCATAGCAGAGAAATTGGTAATAACTGGAAAGTTTGTTCAGTGGACTGGATGTCAGGATATGACTAACAAGAGCTGTCGGTAGGACAGCACGCTCCACTATTCTAAGTGCTTGATAGTAAAAGGGCCTTGATAATGTTAAATTTTTTAGGTTCACAAAGGGGCATAATTCTGTCAAAATTGTAGGTAGAGTTATCCAACTTGTCAATCTGATGTACCTTGTTACTATAAATAAGTATTGTAAGTTTCAATTGAATATCTCAAGCAATAATTAAGATATTTGACTTTACAAAAAAACTTTAACCAAAATTTCTAAGTTCCAAAGGGGCATAATTCTGTCAAAATTGTAGGTAGAGTTATCCAACTTGTCAATCTGATGCACCTTGTTACTATAAATAAGTATTGTAAGTTTCAATTGAATATCTCAAGCAATAATTGAGATATTTGACTTTACAAAAAAACTTTAACCAAAATTTCTAAGTTCCAAAGGGGCATAATTCTGTCAAAATTGTAGGTAGAGTTATCCAACTTGTCAATCTGATGTACCTTGTTACTATAAATAAGTTTTGTAAGTTTCAATTGAATATCTCAAGCAATAATTGAGATATTTGACTTTACAAAAAACTTTAACCAAAATTTCTAAGTTAAAAAGGGGCATAATTCTGTCAATATTGTAGGCAGAGTTATCCAACTTGTCAATCTGATGTACCTTGTTACTATAAATAAGTATTGTAAGTTTCAATTGAATATCTCAAGTAATAATTGAGATATTTGACTTTACAAAAAACTTTAACCAACGCAGACGCCGACGCGGACGCTGACGCCGACGCCGGGGCGACTACAATAGCTCTCATATTCTTCGAATAGTCGAGCTAAAAATGTGTAAGAACTGGCGTAAAAACCAGATCAACAAACAAACAAATATCAAAATTGTATATATTAACCTGTCACAGCCATCAGAAATGTCACCACATTCATGCATACACAAAGCGTGTTTCCCAGGAGTTAGACCATCTATCGTACCATCTATAACCATCTTATCTTTGTCTACCTGCACAAACCTGATCAACCCTTTCACCATTTTGCTACCTGCCTCCAAGATCGAGACACCTGCACCAAGATGTGCTGAAATGTATATTTAAAACTTAATAACAGTCAGGACATCATTACATGTGAAACTACTTTACTTTAAAACAAGTATATCAAAAAGACTGTAAGATGCATAGTTAAAAGTTTCAAATACATGTAAAATAACACTATTCTATGACATAAACATATATTCATTTTTGTCATTGAAATACATAACTAAGTTCAGTAACCATGTAATAGAAAGTTGCCTTTTAATCAATATAAGACACTGTACCTAATTCTGTTGGTTTTCTTTTAATACATGTACCTCGTATTTTCTTATTACTAAGTTATTAGCATAACATTGTTGAGACTCCTATTATATCCTTAGAATGGATGCTTATTTTAAATGGCAGCCATATTACTATGCTGGTTACACGCATGTCATTCTGGCTTCTCAGTTTCAATAATTTTATCTTCTGATCCCTAAATTAATTAATGGACAGTTCAAAATTCAATGCAGGACAAGTTCATTACACAAAATCAGTGGGTAAATAAAAGAATTAGGAAAATGAAGAAACAAGAAATTAACCTTCAGTTTGTATCCCTCCCATTCCCTTTAGTACAGCCCTCCTCCCTGTTCCTTCAATCATGTTTTTCACCTGATCTGTCCCAAGGCGACCTTCAACCAGTACTTGACCTTTCTGAAGATCTACATTCACTTTGTCAATCCCTGTAACATAAAACAACTTATAGATTAAGATACAGGTTTGTTTGTTTGATTGGGTTTTACATCACACCAACACAGTGTAAGTCATATGGCGATGTTCCAGCTTAACTGGTGGAGGGAGACCTCAGGTGCCCTTCCAGGCATTATTTCAGGTACATATGTAAGCGAGTAGAACCACCTAAGTTCGATAGCTTCCTCACATGAAAGAATCAAAAGTCCCTGAGGGTATCAAAACCCACAGTAGTGAGGGGCAGGTGGTTTGAAGTCATTGAATGACCATACTTTTTCTAAGGCCCAGTGAAGGATGACTATTATATATTGTCAATATCAATATTAAAGAAACCGAAGTTTGTTATTATACCTGTAACACCTTCAAATGCCTTCTTGATTGACTTTGCACACCCTTCACATGTCATCTCAACATCAAACTCAAGCTAAAATAAATATATCAAAATTACATGTACTCGGACTGCATGTACTCTTATCAAAACTGGGCCAAAAATATTTTATTGCTATCTTTATTGGTTTCTTCACCAGAACTATGACTGAACAGCAATTGACTTATATCAGCTAGATAATGAATTTGATTGACTGAAAGCTGTCCATATAGATAGCCTCTGCTATGTGCTATGCATGTGAAATTGATTTGAAATCTAAAATTTCATAAAATAATTGAGTAAATTCCATTTTCAGTTGTTGGAATTTCACATTTTTGACTTCAGGTTTTCTCCCTTTTCTGATTTATTGTGCTATATTTTCCCATTCAGAAAGCCAGAGGTTGTTTTAAAAGTTGAAATTGGATATTGGGATAGGGCAAAGCGTTGGTTCAAAGCATCCAGGGAAAAGGGAAAATGGGCTATAATATGGAATAAGACCGAAGGGTCTAAATCAAGAGTTATATAAGATTCATTTGGGTTTCCTTTCATTCAGTTTTTCATTAATTGGAAAAATTACAAATTTACTACTGAAATATAGAGGGGGTCTAATTCTTTTAATTGCTTGGGGAAAATTTTTGGTTTACAGACTCCATAATATACTGAATATAACCATATTATATTGAATTCTTTGGATAAAGAGTCAATGGGTTCATTTCCAGGGAATTTTAAAAAAAACGATTCTCCCTCCAACTACTGATCTCCTAAGTCTTTTTTGCAGACACTGTTCACCGGTTCAAACCAATCCTTGGTGAATTCTTCATTGAGAACACCCACCACTCTTTTTTTGGAATATTTTATTTTTTGTGTTTCAGATATATGAAGGTGAAATTTGTGAGATGTACAATGTAATCTATCAGTGATTTTCCTGCTTATATAACAGACTCCGAAAAAAGGCCTCTTCCCAATTGAAAATTTCTTTAAAATCATGCAGTTTTCCCAAAAATCTAAACTTAAACCTGCTTTTTTACTTCCCAAATCAACAATTTTAGTGATAAATTTTCCCAAAATCAAGTGGCTAAGGCCTCTTCCCCAATGAAGTGAGAAAAATCATTGTCTATAGTGATTGAAATATGCATTGTTTCAACATACAGTATATATTTGACTATGTTATAAATCTAGATTTTGTATCACTCTTTTAAAAGGTGTGATTTTTTTCATAAAAATGTTATGATATATAACAATCCCTTTCACACTCCATTTATCCTTAATTATTTGACATGTTATGATGTAGTACCTTGACTGAGTTCAATACTGTTTATGTTGAAAGTCACACATATTTATTTGTCAGCAATTAGCTCTGCATGTTCATTAATTTTTTTCCTTTGTTTATTTCATCTTTAAATTGTCTTTAAAATTGCATAAATTTGTGTGTTTGAAATTGAATATTATTATCACTTTCAATTGTATGTTAAATGTAAACTATTCAATTGCTGTTAGGCCTATGCATTTAAAGTTTCATGTTGTATGGTAACTGTAAATTGTCTTTCATGATACAAATATGCTTAAAATGCCTGGAGTTAGATATTTTATCAAAAAATACCAGAAATAATGAAATCAATATTGAAGTAAAAGGTGTATTTGTTATTGAAATATTTACTCCAGAAATAATAAGGGTTAAGGGATGAAATGTTAAGGGGTGAAATGTCTTACCAATTTTGGTAGTTCTGGCTTCCATAACTTTATATGTCGCTTTTATTTTAACGTTGTAATTGCAGTACTATAAAACCTGTTTGCTGAAGTCTCTTTAGCTACATGTACAATTTCGGAGTATCACGAAGTGTCCTAAGGGGTAGAGGGGTAGTGTCTGGAGTAAAGTGTCTTGGAGGTGTGGGGGAGTGAAGTGTCTGTGGTGGGGAAGTGAAGTGTCTGGGGTGGGCCCTGGGGTGAAGTGTCTGGGGTGGGGTTGGGATGAAGTATCTTGTTAAAATAATTTGTATTTGATTTTGATAGCAAAATTTTTTAATCATTTATTTTTGGAGGGGTCGGGTTTGTCCTGCTGTTATCTAGCCCGTTAAAATCCCCACGTACGCAATCATTATCTGAGATATTTTGGAAATAAGACAAACATGAAGAAATAAACTTCATATGTTTAGCAGTCTAATTTCTTACCTTTGTGGGCGCATCCATCTTGAGACTGGTTCTCTGCTGTACAGTAGAGTCTACAGTCAGTCTAAAACGGACCTTAAGTAATTAAGGTCCGCGGTTTCTAACAAGAATGTCATAAAAAAAATGTTAATTTTAACAAACGAAATAAAAAAGCAACTTTAAAACGTCCATAATTATGTCTACTTCATTATACTCCGAAAACACGCTGGCACTTTCCGTTCGTAAAAATTCCGCGAAAACACCTTTCCGCGAAAATGCATCCTTTCTAAAATTAAATATAAAAAGTCACGTGTGCCTTACTTCCGCGCCTTTCAAACCGGGAAATGAAAATATGAAAACAGTTAAAAGTACTGAACTTTTTCTATGCATGTGCATTCGTATAGAATCACATGTCCAAGTTATGCGTTCATGTTATACATTTTGAAAGAAATACTGACTGTTTGAATGAACGCTGCTTATTTTCTGTAAGTCGGAAATTATGTTGAAATTATTCGTCCATAATATTTTCGTACCTTTTATTTTAGTGGCTAATTTATCCATTTTGATGGTAAAGTTATGAAAATGTCATTAATTGTTGTCATAGATCAGATAAACCTATATTAGCAACAGTTGTAAGCCATTTTTAGCAGCCTTGCAGTTTTGTTTATCACTTCATGCAGCAATTTTGTTGTAAATTATTGAGAGGTCCAGGTTCAAACCCAGGTAAATTTCTGAGAATTTTTTAGGTTTACAATAATGACAACAAGAATAAAATACATAGAAATGAAAGTGCTTTATGTGCGAGTATTGACTAGCAATCAGACAGAAAGAAAATGATGGTGCTTCCGACTTATGCTTTCTGTGCGAGGGACCAAACTGGTGTGGAAGAACTTAACATAATATTTCTTTATAGTAATTTTCTCACTACACATAGCATACCCATTCACATACGACACTACACAGGTGTAAACGCTATCTCAATTTGATTCGGCGATTTTTTCCCTTTAAACAGGTCTGGGATTTCATGATATTTACGGACAGTCTGTAAATTTATGGACCATCTATAATTTTACAGATTTTTCTATCTGTAAATTTATAGACATTAAATGCGAAAATAGTATAAGTTGTATTAAAATTAAAAACCGCAGGTTAATAAGAATAAATTTACTGATTATATGATTAAATGTAACAGTATGATAAGATTCAGAACAATTTGATGACTTTCAATTTTCACTTTTAACAAAAATTTCAAAGTCATCATACAAAGATGAAACTTATCTCATTACCTTTGTTAATAGAAACAATCAATATAACAACTTGTTTTAAGCTGCGGATTTTAGTCTTTAACTAAAAACAGCAAATTTAACATTGAGGATCTGTAAATTTATGGACTGAAAAATCTTTAAATTTATAGACTATCCATAAATTTACTGACAGTCCATAAATATCATGAAATCCTAGACCTGTTAAATTGTGAAAGGTCCGGTACTGTATCAATTGTAAATTTTTTTTTCTTAAAATGAAAATTTCCAAGTGACCCTTTTTTAGATATTTCACAAAGAATTTACCACTCTTTAAGGGCATTTTTCATCTGTTACTCTATAACCGGCTGTTTACCTCGTATTTCAGTTTTGCATCTAGGCCGCGCTATTGCACGATTTGTGCATACTTTTTGCAGATCGCGCATTTTAATGAAGTCAATGCGTGCCAAGTTGCCCATCTGACGATCTTTTTTATCTTCATTGTATCTTGAACGAGCTGCTTGAATGCTTCAGTCATGTTTGTTTTCACTTGCGGTAACAACTAAACAGAGCAACAGATAAGCTTTAAAAGTGAATTGGGTATTACTCCATCATTTCCTTTGGAATTGGGTATTGGCTCCATTTAATTGGGTATTCCAAAACTCGATACCCTATGATTTCAAGATCAATTGGGTATTCAATTATGAAGATATGAATTTTATGGTTTATAAAGAAAATAGAATAGAACAATTTACTAGAACTTTTCACAATTGTTTTATTTTTTTATATAAAATGCTCATGTTATATTTCATAATATTTTTAACATGTTCGTTTTCTGACTGATTTTTGGTTATTTACGACTGTTTTGTTTCAAATCATTTTCCCTTTTGTACGACGCCATATTGCCTTCAAAGCGTCTATTGATACAGCTGGGACCTACTTAATGACGGTCTCCGCAAAATCAACGGTCTCTGCCGGTCTGTTAAGACCGTCGACCTGAGTAGACAAATTGACGGTCTTAGCTTAATTGATATGGCTTACGGTCTTTGGAGACCGGGACCGTCGAAGACCGGAGACCGTTGATTAGTTAGCATTGATTCGGAAATATTCAGATAGCATGCATATCGATATAATTTGTCCAAAACTACGAGCGAACGACAGATTAATTTTGCGGTGGTGAAAATGACAATACGCACGGGTTTTTAAGACAATTGAGTATTTTATTTTTTTCAATGGGTTTTGATACGCATTCTTAAAAAATCAATTGCGTATTTTATAAAATTAATTGCGTAAATACGCAAATACGCACCTTATCTGTTGCTCTGAACTAAAATACGTACTAAATCACTTGTAGCAGCCGGCTTGGGTCATCTCGCATGTGTATTGTAGAATTTGTCAATATATTATTATTAATTTCCGTTGTTGAGCGTATGATAGCTGTCAAAAATGCCTAAATTTAAGATAAATGAATTATTTTCGGTACATGCCATATTGTTAGGTAAATGCATGTCCCCCAAATTTTTTCCAAATCCCCCACATTTTTCAGTTGAGTAGGGGACAATCCCCATAATTTTGAAATTCTAGATGCAACACTGTATTTACATGTTTGCAATGTACAAGTTGATCAGAATATGTTCTAAAGATTTGACCAGTTGGCTGTAAAATGTGCTTCATTATTAGGTAACCGTACGACTGAAAGACTTCTCTAAATTCATTCAGCTTGAAAAATCTTTTGCCATGAAGTTTAGATTATCAAAAAAATGCTGCGGAAGTCCCATTAATTTGGCCTTTAATTTAATTGAAAGACCCTGGTTTAACATAAAGTTTTGAAAGAATCTGGTTTAACTTGTAGTTTCAATTTGCCATTTTGGATAATTGTTTAATTGAACTGTAATAAAAAATATCTTTGAATCAAACTGGAAGCATTTCAACTTTCCGTTTGAATATCAGCAGTAAGATGACGTTTTGATTTTAAACAATACAGGGGTTTATTTAAGCGGACGCCCGCTTGCCCGTGTCGGGTAGAAATCGCTGCGGGCAAGTGAAATTTGAAAGCAAATTGCCCGGCGGGCAAGTGAATTTTCATTATGCCTTCTTTTAGCTTTGATATCCTTTGCCGATAATACTTTTCTTTCCGTTCATATTACAGTCAAACAAGTGTATTTTTTTTTACTGTTTCTGATTGTAGTTGGACTCCAATCAAATTACGTAAAAAATACTTTTTCCATTTTGCTTTCCTTTCAAAATGGCGGGCGGCGCCGAAAGTTTTTCCATTTTTAAAAGAAAAAAAGTCTACAGCAATTAAAGAAAAAGCCACGGCAAAGAAAACATCTGATTTTCTGAATAAATAGCATTAAATCACAAAAATTCAAGATGAGTTATGTCAATAAAGACTGGCACAACTGCAAGGTTCAAGAAAAATCGGGCCGTAAAAATCTACTCCTTTGAATCCTGTACGCTATTTTTTTCTTCGTACGGTCATTCTTTAACTAACTGGCGTCAACTCATTTGCAATAGGCCTATAGAATTTTTTTTTAATTCGTCACCAGTAATCTTTTTTACACAAATCTTGACGAAAAATCATAATAGTCTTGAACTGTTGTTAATTTATTTTCCTTTCTCCCCTACAGCAATGTTTACAAATATTCTAGATCTATTAATAAACAGAATAAAATAATCCATAAAATGTTTAAAATCCTTTTTGGTAAATCACAGCATATTGTGTAACTATAAGTTATCTGAGGTCAATCTAGGTCATGCCTAATTTACGACCAAAACAGAAAAAAACCTCCTTAGGTGAAACATACAGCAAATGACGTTTATTTCGTCTGACAGTTCTTTGAACCAGTCAGTGCTCTGAACTGTATGATTACTGCATGCGGAGAGTCCCTTTGATGTGACATAGGTTAAAACTTCAATAAAATTTCAATACAAACAGAGAGGATAGGAATCAGACAGATCAATTTAAATTGAGTATAACACATCCTGTCATGGACTTGGAGCAACTTGTTGTTTTTAAAAATGAAATAAATTTGAAAGGTACATAGCTAGTTTGGTAATGCAAACAAAGCAAACATATTTTTGATATTTTACATTGTTTGAAATCAACAATAAACATTTAAATCCTATCACAATTTTCAACAATCGATGTACTGTTTCCTTTTTAAAGTTGTAATAGGGAATAATTATTTTTAAGGTGATAGCATCTGAATGTTACTATATTTTAAAAGTCACCTGGAATAGGGCCTAATTATTACCTGTAATTTTTATAAGCCATAACAGATCATGACTATTGTTAATCTTCATTTTCATTTTACTATTTTGATGTGAGGAATCCCTGACATTTAGGAGTTTTTCTAAATTAAATCTCAGGGATTTCTTTTGGATCCCTGGCAAAGACAGTTGTGTCGACATCTAGACTATTGTGAATTAGCAAAAAAAACATATACAGAAGGGAATTTAGGACTATTTTACTATCTGAGGCATTAGTTGATAGGATCTGCAATAAATCTTATTTTTACCCATAATTTCTGCTTAGATTATTAACAATCTTCACATTTAAGATCGGGCAACCTGTTTTTCCTAGGGGCAAGTAGATTTTCAAAGTTACTTGCCCTTCGGGCAAGTTAAAGTCAAAACCTTAAGTAAACCCCTGCAATACATCAAGGCAAAGACAAATTGAAATTTTGATCACTTATATTAGAAAAAATCAGGAAATTGTAAGCTAAATATATGTAGATTGTGAATTTTTTGCAGACTTGTGTATGGCTCCTTTGGACTCATTGTGGAAGACCGTTCGTGATTGTGAATGGGTCCGTTATTCGGTACCACTCATATAAGGAAAATAATCGCTGCGATTGCATGTCTGGCATTGTCTGCTGCCAGAAATCATTTGTAAATATTTAATTTTAATTGTCTGGGCATAACATGTACTATTGTAGGAAAAAAATTCGGATATTTGCAACAATTGCCAAAAAGTATATTTAGTTTCTTTAATGATTATCAAAAAGTTAATCACTGTATTTCATATCAATTAACCATAATTTGAAATGAAAATATGATTAAACAATTTACCTTTTGAAGTGAATATATGTAGTTTATGTATATAATTTCTGATATATTCACAA